CTACTTGATTTCATATATGTATTTTTTGGATGCTGGGGAATCTAACCCAAGGTATCAGGCTTTCCAAGTAGGAGCTTTAGAACTGAGCTACACACCAGTCCTTGTTTTGCTTTATTTAAACAATAAAAGCTTTCCTTTTATTGAGCCTATCCAGTTCAAATGTAAGTGAGATTTGTCAACTTTCTAGGTAATTTTATTTATTCCAAAAATAACAAAAATTAGTAAACAGTTATTTCATGATTCCACTCAATTTTGTTTCCAACTTAGCTTTAAAGAAGTTTATATTGGAGCTGACCAGATGGATAAAGGTACCTGCTGCCAAGCATAATGACCTGAATTCCATCCCCAGACTTACATAGTGAAAGGAGAGAACCAACTCTTGCAAATTGTCCTCTGAGCTCCACAAAGCGTTGTGACAGGCAGGCAAACAGGCAGGCATGTGTGGCTGTGGGGTGTGTGTGTGTGTGTGTGTGTGTGTGTGCACATACCCACACCACACATACAAATAAGTGAATAAAAAATGTAAAAAAAAAGAAAAAAATAATTCTTCAAAGCATAAAAATTTGCTCCTTAATAATTAGTAGATGTGAAAAACATTACCATTGAAATCTACCTGATGACTTTATATCCATGCTCAGATGCCAAGGGGCTCAGAAAGTAACTGACTGTGACTAGTAATAATCAGATTTATAGAGATGAGAAACGCATGTGCATCTTAGTGTCAATTGTATTAAAAATGAATTGTTCTGTATGAAACTGTATTTTAATAATGAAATGGAGATCTTTTTTAAAGTTTAAAACCTCATTTAATTTTATGTCTTATAGGGTTTAGACAGAGTACAATATTGTATAACTGTATTAATTCAACTATATACCTAAAAATTTACAGCCAATTTTGAAAGAGATGCAGCTTAGCTCTGGAAATTGTTATTGAATATGTCGATGTTGTTGTAATGAAATGCTTCTTCTAGTTATATGACTGTTAAATAAATAATTTTTTTAAAAGAAGGGATGGATATGTAGGAGAAGAAGTGCCAGGCCTAAGCACAGGCCGCACTAGAGAACACAGCTTCCGCCTTGAGAGCACAGCCTGCGCTTCCACAAAAGAGCCAACCTAATCTGCCCCCAGACCTAGAGACTGATGATGCGAGTGGCCTGCATGAGGGGATCTATCAGGGAGCTACACACCAACTTATGGGACACTGGGGACAGGGGGAGAGATATATAAGGCCTGCCCTTTCCAGCAATAAACGAGTCTGCAGCACCTCGGCTAGTGCCTGCTTCCACCCGCCCCCCCAAAAAGTAATATTTTTAAAAGTTAATCTTCATGAGAAAAGTCCCAGACAAATCGCAGTTGATGGACATTGCACAAAATGCCTCACCAGTCCTCAGAACTGTCAAGATCATCAAAAACAAGGAAATTCTGAGACTACCTCAACCAAGAGGAACCTGAGGTAACATGGTGACTAAATGCCGTATAGGATCCTAGGTGGGGTCCTGGGCCAGGCAAAGAACATCAGGCTTAGGGCTGGAGACATGGCTCAGCAGATAAGTGCACTGGCTGCTTTGCTGAGGACCCTGGTTCAGTTCCCAGCACCCACATGGCTCTTGTCAGCCTCCATGACACAGGTGCACTTACATACACGCAGATAAAGCACTCACACACATAAAAGAAAATTAACTAAATAAATCAAATAAAATTTAATAAAAGAACTTCAGGTGAAACCCACAGAAATTAAAGAACATGTGGGCTTCAATTTGCAGTGACATACTGACATTTTTCACTCTTTGTGACAAATACAACGATTAGATGTGGGGGCGGGGCTGTGGGAGGGGTATGTAGGAACTTTGTTCCAACTTTGGAGCAAAATCTAAAATTTTTCAAAAATTAAAAAAATCTTATTTTAAAACATATAAATAAAAGAATCCCTAAAAACAGAAACTTCCGGGGGCTGGAGAGATGGCTCAGCGGTTAAGAACACTGTTCTTGCAGAAGACCCGATTTGAATCCCAGCACCCACATGGTAACTAACAACTGTCCATAACTCCAGTTCCAGGGGATCCAACAGCCTCTTCTGTCCTCTGCAGGCATTGCACAACAGGGGTGCACTTCCCTACATGCAGGCATAACACTCATACATATAAAAATAAAAATAATAAATAAAATATTAAAATAAAAAAAAACAAAAAAAAAGGAAACTGCCTTAATCTCACTTTTCTGAATTTTGGAATGGGGCAGTTGACCAAAATCATTGGTAGGTGATTAGCTCTGTGTTCACTGAGTATCAGCTGAGTATCAGTGATACTCATATATGAGTATCATATAAGAACTTCATATACATGACTTTATTTAATTATGCCAAAGCTCCTACAGGGTGGGCACAACTGTTAGCCCAACACACCAGTGAGGAAATGCACCCTGCTCACAAAGCAGCATTTGGTTGCAGAGATCACATACTATGACACTGTTCATGCTTCTCAGGGAAGGGTGCAGAAAAGGAACACATACAGTCACATGAACAGAGTCTGAGGAAATTCAGGACCATTAGCATTTGACCTAAGATATGTTGACAAGTGAGACTAGGCTCATGAGGCCCGAGTGACAGCCCCACTATCTGCTACCACAGCCCAGGAGATAATGCCACTCATTTGTCATCTGGTGGTAACATACTTGTGAAAAATCTTTTTCTTTGAAGGGTGATTAATTCATATAAACCTAAGATTATGACAAATGACCCAAAAGGGAAAGATTTAGTTCTAGGCTGTTCCCTGGGCAACCCAGACCTACCTCACTCCAGCTTGCTATCACAGGTCTCAGGCCTGTGACAATGCCTATAGGATGCTTGTCAGAACCCTTGCAGGACATGAAGTTCACTTTGTCCAAATGCAACCCATTGAGGCACTCTGAGTGTCAATTCAAGAAAAGGCCCAGCTGCAGACCTTGATAGTACCATTCCAGCCCTAGTCAATAGCTCCTGAGCCTGGGTGTGAGGCTGAGCCTTCCTCTTTTCTCTCCTCACCAAAACTTCATCCCTCAGCCAGTACTGGCATCTTCTTCTCTACATTCCATACCAAATCTATCTATCCTTTGCATCTTTGCTGTCTTATTCCGTCTGCAACCTCACTCCCCGCCCCCACTTGGACTGGAGAGAGGGGCATAAACACATTGTGGCTCATTCGAAAATCAGATCACCCTAATATTTCTATCTCCACCTGCCTCACTTGTTGGTGTCAGCTGTTTCCAGCTTTGATCATAAAAGGGTGTCTACAACAACTCCTACAAATCTCTAAATAGTTTCCAGAGATTCCTATATGTACTTTTAATACACACAGAAAATACACGTGTATGCATGCATTTATTTAATTTTTATGTATTAATTTGAATTGAGAGGCTGAGTCAACATTTTTAACTTCTAGATTGATATATATATAAAATGTTTAATTTATTGACTGTCAGATAATCCTCTACCACCTTCCCTTCTCCTCCATACACTGGGTCCCAAAGGCTCCGAACCCCAACTAGACGCTGGCCGATGGCTGCCATCTGCACCCATTTCATCCATGTAGATGAGCTCTCTCCCCACTTCCCTGAGACCCTCTTGCCCTGCTCTTTGAGTATGGTGTTCTCTGTGCTCTGTGGAGCTGGCAGGGGGTCTATATGTGCTTGGTGCAGGGGGCTGTGGTCTCTTGGGCTGGGAAGGCAAGGTTTATCTCAGCCCTGGCCTCAATTGCCATGTTCCCAAATGAGATGGTAAGACTAGCAGGTCTGAATGACCCAACCCCCAAGACATCACTCTGACACGCTGACTCATTGTAACTGCTCCAAAATGCCTCTAAGAACTATTGTCCTTTGGAATCCTACCCCTGGAAGCTGCCTCTTTGAAGTGGATGGTCTGTCAAGATGGGACTCAAGAGTTTCCATTAAAAGCAGAAGTACTTCCAGAAGGAAGCCATTGAACCTTAGGTTTGAGAAGTAAGACAGGAGCTGTCCTTGCTAATGAGGGTCTGTCTATGACACTAGCCTCTCTCCACGTGAGGAGAGGAGGCTGGTCTTCAGTCATGAAACTGTTGTGAGACACTACTCCTAGGGACATGTGAAGAAACATCTACTTATCCCAGATAGGGAACCAAGGACAGACCAGGGTAGGGATACCACCAAACACAGTGAACAAGTTTTATTGGGATGACAGCTTTCTTACAGGAACAGAAATGACTCAAAGACAGGTGCATTACCAAAAGCCCACCCCAGCATGAAAGCCCACCCTAGCTCATGAAAGGTAGAAATCTGAAGCATACTGCATAACTTGTAGGTAGCTCAACAGGTTGGAGGGTGTCCCTAGTGTCTGCCTCTTCCAGGTGTCCTATCAGAGAGTATTTCTTGGCAGTCCTTACTGCTTATATAGGCTTGGGGAGGGAAGGCCCTCCTTCATGGAGTTGTTATTTCCTCAGCTTAATGAGCTACCCTGCAGGATGGAAAGTTTCACCTCCCCTTAAAACATCCTGTGTCTTAATAAGCTTCCTCACAAGATGGAGGGTTTTGGGTCTGAGGAAATTCTACACAGCAGAAGGCCCCGCCTAATGACATTTTAGTCAAGATTGGACTACATAGACGGCAACAGTCCCATGAGATTGCCTCACCCGGGACCTTGTAGCCATCTTGATTTGTGTAAAGTACACTGCATGATGTTCACCCAATGTTGAAAGCGCTGAATGATGCCTTTATGGAACATTGCCTTGTCATTAAGTGACAGGTGACTGTACTTCTCTCTGGTCTTCTCAGAGGAAACTTTGTGTGGGGCAAGAAGAGAAACCAAGTTCAGGTCTGGAAAATGTCATGGGGTGCAGTGGTGGAGGGAACCCATGGCGTGCAGTGTATAGAGAACATAAAACTGGGACTGAGAACCCAGAGCCTTTCACCTCCAGCACACAAATGATGCTGCCATTCACAAACCAGATGTGTTAATTAAAATGCTGCTAAAAGAAACAAATCAATTATCAGATCCCTTACAAGATGGTTTATTCTATCTTACACACAGAAAATTGCTTATGAGTATCATGTTACCGCTTTAGGTGATCAGTTAACAAAGGCTGCTAATGAACAGCATTGTTATCAAGTCAGACAAAAGACGCCCTGGGAATCCAGACAGATTATTATAACACAGCACTTTGTTTTTGAAAAATAGCTCATCTTTCATCACACGCAACTCGGATAACCTACTCTGCAGAGACTGAGTCCATGAGGCTACCTGGATTCCTGGAGAATGGAAAGGCAGAGTCCTCTACGACTCAGACCTAGAAATATGGGTTAATGTTTGAGGTGAGAGTATGTTCATGGAGTCTCTGCCCAGAACCTTAGCTTGATGACAAAAGTGGTGTGGTATGGGTTTCCCGAGCCCTTGCCAGTCCTGTGTCTCAGGTACATTGGGCACCTTTCAACAGTTGCCACAAAATCATTAGAGTAGAGCAGTAAGAACAGTTGACACACACAAAGCTCTCCATGAGTCAGCACACCTACTTGATCATCTCCTTCGCAGAGGCTCTTGCAGAAGGAGACTGATGTCTCCCCTCAGGACAGAGGCTTTTTTGGTTCCAGTCTTTTTGGTATTTGCTCCCATACTGAGTCCATGTGATGGTCCATCAGCAGCTTTGGGTATTGAAACACAAGATAGCCTAAGACTGTAACTGTATCCAGTTGTGTAGCTTGCCAAACCTCTGTTGGTACAGCTGGTTGCTCACAGCTCCATCACTTGGGCATCTCTGAAAAGGAAGAGAAACATCTGGAAGACTCGAGCAGAGTGATTGTACTCTGATGAATGGTTCATGTGGTACACTGAGCAGTTGGGGGAGTTCACCAGCAGATGCCGGGGTGATGGAGCAGCTCCTCAAACAATACAGAGAAACACCTGAACCAGGGGCGAAGCCAGATATGAAACTTCAGGTTGTTTCTGCCTGCCAAGCCCAACACCACATGACCTCATGCTACAAAAGAGGGAAGGACCTCATTCCTCAAGGTTAATTGGCATATTTGGGGGGAAAGTGTCACTGTGTGTGGTGGAAGAATGTGTTCATATATAGGCAGATAATAAAAGGAACAAATTACGGAAATCTATGTGCATGTAAGGAAGAATGATGCCTTCAGTTCTCAACTACAAGTTGTTACCAGCTTAGACAGGAGGAACGACACTAACAATGGGTTTTTATAAAGGGGAACACAGAAGAAATGATGAAGTCACCAAACCAGGCCCTAACACAAGAGAACTGGAGCTGGAGGTTGAGGTACAAAGCTCTAGGGTACCAGCATCATCACCTTCATGCAGGAGACAGAATTCCCACCAACACCATAGTTTCACATATGCCTTTTCTATAGCTGCAATAGAATGCCACATTGATGCTTGCACTGACTGCAGCCTAATTGCAATGCTATTTATTATGCGTGTTCCGCAACAATCTTTAGTTATCTGCCATCTCAGCATGGGCAAAGGGGGAGCCGTAGCAGGAAGACAGTAGAAAGGAGCACACATGAGACAAACCAAGTCAACAGCCATAAGATAGACAGCACGTCACACCACCTAACCTGAGGTCTGAGGGCCAACGACACAGGTGAAGCCCAAGGTTACAGAGCTCAGTGGCAGGAGAACCAACACTGAAGAGGGACTTATGAAGCAAGAACGATGTGGTGCCCAAGAGAGGTTAACAGGGATGATATGCTCAAAGTACGTGATATATGAAAATGTCGTGAAGATGCTCATTATTTTATAAAACTAATACATACTAATAAAAATGTTAAAAAGACAGGTATGATGAAGGGAGTGGAGAGAAGGAAAGAAGGACTCAGAGGACTACCAATGTTACCAGGTGTTTGTGCGTCTCTTTTAAAGGATGATAGTCCAGAAGAACACAGAGTTCAAGCTGGCTGGTCTAGACATGCAGGGGTTGAGCATAGAGAATTCATCCCTCCTGTTGTTTTTAGCCCCAAAGCTAAGAGGCCAATTCAGGAGTCGAGGAGGGGATTTGAAGTATCTGGAACAGACCAATATATGTGCTTGAGATACCAATGCTAGGGGTTGGACAAGGAGGCCTGAAGAACAGTCTTCTCACTAATGCAGTGCTGGGCTGGGGAAGCAGTCCTCTGTCAAGCTGCCACCTAATGAAGTCATTCTCTGACAGGCAGTGATAACTCTGTGGATGGACATGTCACCAGACTCCAAGGCGCCAGGTACAACCTGAAGTAAAAAAGTCAAGTTGGGCAGAGATGGAGAGATCCAGGTGAAATTAACCTGCCCAATCCTGGGTTGGTGTCAAGAGATTTTGGTCACTGTACAATTAGAATAAATGTAAAACCCACATATTTTACCACATTATCCAAAATCATAGGTAGGCCAAGAAGAGAAGAAAAACTAGAAAAATAAAATCAATGTATGTCTCTGTGTTCTGGCTAGCCAAGGAAAGCCTTAGTGCATTTACTATTGAGTTTCAAAACTCAGAATGGGCCTTACATTTTGCCAGAAGTGTTTCAGCAAAGGGAAAGAGGCACAGCTGCACTGCTTCAAGGGTGAAATTGTTCTTTGATGGTCCATTCCAAACCCAGCTTCTTTCTTGCTCAGTGGATGTTAAGTGGATTTTCTGCCCAGATCAGGCACAAAGCAAATATGCGTCTATGTCAACTATCACAACACTGGCAGTTTCAGATGCAGTCAGAAAGGAGGGAGCAATCAGAGTCCCAAGGACTGAGAAAGAAGGGGTGCATCTGGGGAGATGAGGTGGTATCACAAAAACTCAAAGGGGGCCAAGGAGAAAATAAACCAAATGATAAAAACATCCATTAAGACAACCATTGTAATATTCAATGGCCACGTCAGAGAACTGGTGAGGAAGACCTTCAACAAACAAGAATACACAAAGTACTCAGGATTAAACTCACCAAGGAAGCATTAAGAGCAAAATCTGAATGCTCGCCTTGAAACACATGAAAAAAGACTCATGAAAAGTACCTTTCTAACAAAATTGTGGTGTATAGTGACAATAGGATTTGGTCATAAATAATGAAATCCATTTGGAGGAAATGTCATTTGGAGGAACATGGGTAGAGCTGGAGGGCCTTATGTTGAATGAGCTAGACACAGAGAGATATTACATGCTTTCTCATATAGACAGATATTAATAAAAAATTAACCTGAACATAGAATATTTGATAAAGATGTTGGGACAAAGAGAGGCTGGATTTGAGCTGTGTACAGGTTATTTTTGTCCACTTGATATGAACTAGTGTCATCTGGGAAGAAAGAACCTCAAATGAAGATTTTTCTAGATCAGATTGACCTGTGGCCATGTCTGTGTGGCATTTTCTTAATTGTTAATTGATGTGGTAGGGCCCAGGCCACTGTGGGCAGTGCCATCTCTGGGCAGGTCGGCCTGGGCTGTAGAAGAAAACTGAGCAAGCCAGGGGAAGCAACCAGTAAGCACCATCCTTCTGCCTCTGCGGTCTGTGCTTCAGTTCCTGCCTTGAGTTTCCTGCTTTGAGCTCCTGCCTTGGCTTCCCTCCATGATGGACTGCAACCTGTAGGATGAAACAAACCCTTTCCCCCCCAAGCTGCTTTTGGTCAGAGTGTTCTGTCATAGCAACAGAAAGCTAACTTGAACAAACAGTGTCTGTTATATGCATGTACTGCAACATCACACTGAACCCATTAACGTGGAATTAAAACATACTAATCAAAAATATATATCTTCTGGGGCTGGAGAGATGACTCTGTGGTTAAGAGCACTGGCTGCTCTTACAGAGGAACTGGGTTCAAATCATCCGAGCACCCACATGACAGCTAACAATCGTTCATAACTCAAGTTCCAGGGGATCTGATGTCCTCTTCTGACCTCCACAGGCATTGCACGACATGGGTGTCCTTACATACATTCAGGCAATAAAATAAAAGAATGGAAGAACCACCGCAGGCCTCTCTCCTACCCGCAGACCTCACTCCGGGACCAACCCAGCTCCTCAGTGCAGTCCCCAGGAGTCCTTGGGGCCTCTTCCCACCCCATCTGCCTTTGCATCTCTGGGTGGCACAGCCACCAGCTGCCCTAGACCAGCATCTTTCCTGGGCCCTGCTCCCAGGCCAGTCCAACCACCAAATTCCTGAAGCCAAAATCGTTCCTGGAGGGATCCAGACCTCAGGAGAAAGCCTGAAAACATTTGACCCTCATCTGAATTGGGCCTCTGTGGGAACTCCCGAAGACAAAAGCAATCCATCCACTCCAATATAAAATCAAAAGAGAGAACTGGAAGCTTAGACAAACCAGCCTTTATGCCCAAAAAGTAAACCACAAAGACACATAAAGTTCACAAAAAGAAGCAGACCTAAACTTGAAGGCTTGAGTCTCACACAAGAATCAGAAACTACAAAAGAAAGTCACATGTCAAAATCACAACTCAAAAGAACAATTATAAACATGATAAAAGAATTCAATGAATTTAAGAAATCAAAGAACTGAAGGAAGATGGGGAAAAACTTCTGAATGAATTCAGAAAAGAGTTAGAAATATTGAAGAATACTCAGGCTGAAATGAAGAAGGAAGTGAAACACTCAGTAAATCAATTAGAAACGAAAGGAAAAAGCCTCACCAATAGGATGAACAAAATGGAAAACAGAGTATCAAGACTGGAAGATAAAGTGGGCGAACTAGACCACTCAAGCAAAGATTATGAAAAATTTAAGAAATCGCAAGAATGGAATATGCAGGAATTGTGTGAGACCATAAAAAGACCAAACTTATGAATCATAGGCATACAGGAAGGAGAAGAATCCCAAGATAATGGCATGGACCAGATCTTCAACAGAATCGTGGGAGAAATTTTCCCAAAATTAAAGAAAGACATGCCCATACAAATCAAGAAGTGTATAGAACACCAAACAGACAGGACCAGAAAAGAAACTCTCCACGGCACATCATAGTAAATACACTACATGTACAAAACAAAGAGACAATACTGAAAGCTGAGATGCTGTTTCTTTGTAAATGAATCAAATGTTGTTGAAACCAATGTTAACACTCTCAAAAAACTTTGTAATCTATTTTCAAGATTGGCTTAGCAATCCCTTGTTTGTATTATTGCTTGCTCACTGTTTTTAAGGTTTCCTTGCTGACAAATTACTGCCATTTGCTAAAATCACTACAGAAACAGGTCATGGTCAATTATCAGACTTTGGATTCTCCCGAGATGAGATGAGTTGGCCCTTAGGGCTTGTGATGGCACTTCCCCATATTTAAATCAAAGAGGAGGAGATGTTGGGGACCCTTGTTGTGTAAAGTAGTAGTCTCTTCATGTCTGGATAGCCCATGGGCTTGGCTTCAAATGCAGAGATTCCTTTTTCAGCAGGGTGCCTTCCCAGCATCTTCCTGACTCATCTTTTGAAGCAGCCATCACAGAAACATGGCCTCCGGCTCTGGAAACTGTCAGCCTTTCCTGTGTGATTTTCAGACAGTCTGGCAGCCTGGCAGGTGCTCACCGCCACATGTAAATGGGACATCCTAAAAGTACCTATCGGCTAAAGCTTTTACCACTACCCCCATGGTATAAAATATCTTAGCCTTCTCTTAATATTGGGATTTTGGGTCAGAGACTGGGTCCCAGAGATTGGGTCCCAGAGAGAATAAAGCTGTAAGCACAGACTAAGCTGAGCCTTGAGTCTTGTGTACCGGCGACCTGATTCCCCCGGAGGGCAGCACCTTCCGTTACCGACCCACGGACAACTGCTTTT